TTATTTCCTACATTTACTGTTATCTCTTGGTTCGATGGACCAGGCTACCATATTCTTCGATTGAGTTACTAAATAAAATGATAAAAAAAAAGTTAATAAAATCGTTGAATATATGTACAGTATATATTTCATTCTTTTGTTTTTCCATTGTACTTTTCAGGGGGGTGGAGCAGTGTTTCCACATGTGTGACAGAGTGGTCATCTACTTCTTCATCGCTGCCTCCTACACACCTTGGTGAGGTTAAAGCCAGCAAGCTTTTGACTAGAAACTGTGAGCATGAAATGGAAAGACTTCCCCCTGTGTTTGAACCTTTTTCTAGGTTAAACCTGCGTGAACTGGGCCCTATGGCTGCACATATGCGCTGGTTTGTGTGGTTCATGGCTGCCGCTGGAACCGTCTACGTCTTTAAATACCATGAAAAGTAAGTTTGATTCACTTATTACTTTATATATTACTACTGCAAGATGAGTAGCCAAGTGGAACTTGCAGAGGTGTGGACTCGAGTCTCATGACTTGGACTCGAGTCAGACTCGAGTCATCAATTTGATGACTTTAGACTCGACTTGACAAAATGTAAAGAGACTTGCAACTCGACTTGGACTTTAACGTCAACGACCCGTGACTTCACTTGGACTCGAGCCCTTTGACTCGACAAGACTTGATACTTTCTCCAAAACCCAAAGGGATCTGTGTAAATATATTATTATTTTGTTTAAAAGGACTCGAAACAGAAACGGCAGGACTTGGGACTTGACTTGACACTTTTTAGTCTTGACTGAGACTTGACTCGGACTTGAGTGCAGAGACTTAGTAGTGCTGTGTATAATATAATAAGAGGGCTTACAGTGACTTGTTGCTGGTGATGAAGTAGAACAATAAGTAAATCAGGACTAGTAGATTATGGGCAATAACAAAAAAAAATGTAACTACTGTATTTCCTGGACTATGAGTCACTCATGAATATAAATCGCACCAGCATAAAAATGCATAACGAAGAAGAAAAACACATACAGGTCGCTGCGGAGTACAAGTTGCACCAGCAAAAGGATGAGGATGGAAAAAAAAGTGTTACTTACAGGAGTAGCAAATACTGGGACACAAGCCTAGAGTGCCCTCTAGTGGCTGTCAGTGAGAATAACAAAAATGTACATTTTTAGTGGTACAGGAGAAGCAGATACTGGTACACAAAACCTAGAGTGCCCTCTAGCGGTTGTCAGAGTGAAAATGACATGTGAAATTATATATTTTAATATATAAATCTCACTTGATTTAGTCGCAAACTCAGCCAAAGGATGAAAAAAATGTGCGACTTATAGCCCGGGAAATACAATATATTTCAGTGGTGTGTAGTAGTGACCGTGTCATGTACAAATGAATGAATTCACATTTATTCATGCATGTATTTGTCTTTCTCCAGATACAAACTGGTTGAGCTGGCCTTTTATTTGACGATGGGGTTTTTCCCTGCATCAGTCGTGACATCTATGGTAATTTTCTTTACGAAAACAAAGTTCACCTTGCAAGTGATGTCGTTTGTCCTGCTCTCACCTCTTGTGGTTGTCCATTAGACGACATGACCTTAGTAAATTTGTCTCGTACATTCTGTACGGTTATTTACCATTTAGTCCCAGTATGTGGATAGTCTCACCTTAGTCCATAAGTAAAGCAGAGGAGATCCAGTATGTACTGTATGTACAACAAAACATTTGTAAAGTGCCATATTTTTCTTTGAAACCCAGGTTCTTGAAGTTCAGACTTCATTTGTAAAGTGCCATATTTTTCTTCGAAACCCAGGTTCTTGAAGTTCAGACTTTTTAAACAACTGGTTTTGTATGTGGTTATTATTAATGTTTTTTCCAAAATCTTTACTGATCTCAAGGTTTTTGATGGTGCACTTGTGCAAGTGTTCTTTTGGATAAACGGTTAAATAGTCAATATACACTGCTCAAAAAAAAAAAAAAATTGAAGGAACACTTTGAAAAAAAACATCAGATCTCAATGTAAACAAAAATATGTGGATACCTAGATAGAGATTTGGACAGGGCAATAGGCCCTTAGTGAGCAAGTGGCACTTAACTTCCTTCCAACCATCAGTTGATATCAGAATCGGAAATTAAGTGTTTGGACAATCCTCTTGTTTTCTCTCGTTTCCCCAGAATAACACTGACGGGCTTCAGGAACTGGCCTGCGGCGGCCTCATCTACTGCCTGGGTGTCTTTTTCTTTAAGAGCGATGGTGTCATTCCTTTTGCTCATGCCATCTGGCACGTGTTTGTGGCCCTGGCGGCCGCTGTGCACTACTACGCCATCTGGAAATACCTCTACAAGACTCCCAGCAGCCTTCTCGCATCCTGACCGAAAGGAGGATGAGAAGAACAAGCGGAAGGAGTCTGATACACACAGACATCGACTGCCGACAGAAGCTGAAATGTTTACAATTCCGGATCAAGTATTACATTTTAAAAAATGGCGGGCACTTTCCTATCCGAGGTGAACTGGTCATCGCTTGAGGTTGGATTCTGGTTTTGTAGGGACGGGAATGATGGACATTTGACACTTAACTCAGACTCTTGATTTAGATTATTCCTCAGGAAACCTACACTTTTTGTTGATGGTATTTGTCGCCCCCTGCTGACGGCTGGGCCTAATTTCACCCCTGCGTTTCAGTATGTTCGTCAGAGACGGCTGAGGAAGGTGAAGGCTGAGCCCTTTGATGAAGATGACTTAGAAGAAATGGAATTGTGAACCAGTGTTTGTAATGCTCAAATTGTTCACATGTGAATGAATCTTAATTTATTCGTAATCTTAGTCTTGTACATTTGCAGTGATTCTTGCTTTGCACCACTAGAACTTTCTTTTTTTTTGTTTTTTTCCGATTGCTTCGTGTTATGTCACAGGTCCATGAAATGATCATTTTTTTTCATGTACAGCAAAAGGACTGCGGCAAATACGTTTTGTTTTTTTTAAATGTAACGGCTGCTTGCTGACAGATTTCTTGAACCACTTTTTTGTATTTTTTTTTTTATATATATAAATTTGTGATGTATCAATGTGCATGCCTTTGCAGACAAAATCTGCGTTCCATTTTTTTTGTCAATGGATAATGGTGCTGCAAAAAATCAAACAATTCTGACAAGAAAAAAATTCTGACAAGAAAAAAAAACATTAAAAATGTATCTCTGAATGGTTTGGGTGTCACTTATTTGCATATAACACTCCATGACCCCAAGGTCCACTACTGAAGATGTCTTGAAATAAGATATTTTAAGAAATGTATACGAAACATTTAACATTACATCAGAGAAATTACACCTGAGGAAAAATTAGAAAACAGTCAAAATACAAGTGTTAATCTAACGATTACATCAGAGAAATTACATCTGAGGAAAAACATTAGAAAACACAGTCAAAATACAAGTGTTAATCTAACTCTTAAAGAGTTTTAAATGAACATTTGTCGCGATTGACTCCGCAGAAACTTGGCGACCTTTTTTCGCACTATGCGCCTCAGCATCCGCTGACCCCGCTCCGTCAGTTTACGTAGCCTGGAATTGCTGTCGTTCCCAAACACTTCTGTGTTGACGGTTGACTGTGGAATATTTAGGAAGCGAGGAAATTTCACGACAGTACACACAAATGTTTGTAAAAACAGTCTGCACGCCCAGGTGCTTGATTTGATACAAAAGTGAATACTTTTGGCAATATATTTGTGTATATTAGGTATATATATATATAGTAAAGGAAAGACAAAAAAAAAAAACTAAAAAAAAAAAAATGGTATTTTTCTTTTAGTCTGACATCTACACACATCTTACAGAAAGAAAGGATTTGAACAGCACGCATCAAAGAATCAATGTGTCCATTCTGTGACAACCTCGTCAACAAAAACCTTCCGTACACTCTACCAAGTTATCAGCTCCATCTTTTTTTTTTAGATTGTAGATGTCAAATTAGGATAAATCCAAAAAGAATGTATTTATTTATATATATATATCTTTAATTCATTTAAAAGCCCTTCAGTGCAGATCTGGACCTTTCAGAGTGAAGGCACTTGATCTGACTCAACTCAACTTCAGGGTGAGGTAGTGACGTCACTGGACTGTTCATTGTTTTAGTCTTTTTTTATGTCTGTATTTATAATATAGCTATACAATTAAAAACAGGCTACTCAAATTCAATGTCCACTCTGTTCCTGTCTTCTCTTTTCTACGTATAAACACTGGTTACACCAGGCATGGGCAAACGTTTTGACTCGTGGGCCACAACTGTCCTAAAATTGAACGGGGAGGGGGGGTCACGAGCAGATAGATGGACAGATGATATGTAAAAGTCCTGCATAAAGGCTAAAATGCTTTTATCATTTTCTACACCATCTATTGGGAAAACGTGGGTACTGCAGGGGAAAAGCAGAAGTATAATAACAATATAAATCTTCTTAGTTTGCCCATGCCCGGGTTCCACTAACAAGCATTGCAGAAAAGACAAGAAGACGAATTTAAATGAAATCCTGTCGGGTTTTTTGAGCACAGTTAGATTGGTGTTTCATTCAGTAGAATAATAACAGTAAGTATCGTGTTCATTTTGACGACAGGAGATATGCGGTGTAACCTAAAAAAAAATTTCGGGGAAAATAACGCTGCATATATCTGTAATGCTTGTATCGGAATAGGAAATTAAGTGTTTGGACAATATCAGCAAAAAAGCTCTCCCTAACAGGAAGTCCAATACTTATTGGAATTTGGCGAGTACTTTGGGACACCATCCACATTTCAGAAATCTCCTACATTCATCCAGCTGTCCTTCAAAATACAAGAGGTAGAGTTAGAAAGACACGCAAAGAGCGAAAGAAAGACAGCTCTTAAAGTAATAAACACATGTCTGTCATGTTAGGTTAGCAAAAGACAAACATAACAAGACAAGCCATGCAGTAAATCCGAAGACAGAAAGTAAATAACATTAATAGCGCTAACAGAGTTATCAACAGGGTATTTATGTTCAACAAGTAATAAGACCTAATTCCTCAAGAGACCGGCCATTTTAACTTTTTGTTTACTTTACATTGTAATGTTTGCGGTCTAAATATAATTCAAACTAAGGATCACACAGTAACGTTATTTTTAACGTTATTTAAGTATGAATGCGCTCTTTAACCAGGACAATCTCATTTATATTTTTACTTTTAAGATCTTTTATTTTATTACCTTCTTCCCCAATCGACATCATCAATATCTTTGAACGGCGATTACTCTCCTAGCGCGCTAATTGCGTTCCAAGACCCACCGCGAAAAGGTAAAAATTGTGAAGTAGAAGGCGAGATAGTTACAGTATGTTTACCGTTTACGAACCTCCCCCACACTGTTCAACAGTCGAACAACAGCGCCCCCTGTCTCCAACTCAGGTCATTACCTCCATTAAGGTAATTTTTTTTTTTTTTGTATTTTTTTCTTGTATTACCCCAAATATACTGTATGTGTTGCAAACTGTCTTTTTGTTCATTTATATACTGTTTTTCCCTTTTTAGGCTAGCATATTATTATTTTTAATGAAAATATTGGAAATCTTAAAAAAAATTGTTTTTACCGTAAAATATCGGGAGATAGCGAAAATGTCCTGTTGCTTAACAGTACTTTTCAATCTTACTTTCAGTGAGGATAACAGTTGTTGAGTACAACATTTTCTGTGGGACCGCAGCTTAAGCAAAGTGCAGCAAATGTCACAAAACATTCTCAATGGTTTGATCCATCCAAGAGGGTAAGCTTAAACAAATAGATCAAGATTGTGAGATACGCGTTAGTGCAGAGGTCGACCAAGGTCTTTGTGGTAAACGGAGAGACAGGAGAAGCAGAGTGGTTAGTGATTATAGTTGGGCGGAGAAGAGTTATTGCTCACTGTCCGGGGTGGGAAAAAGGAGGAAATAAAGCAGAATGCACAGAGGTATACTGTATATTAAGAAGTTAGAATTTGGAGACATGGAGTTTTGATGTGGGACAAAAGGGCGGGACGCAGATGAGACAACGGTGTCTCTGATCTGGAGAGTATCATCCAATGACTGAGAACTACTACTGAGACTGACCAACACCTGACCAACAACGAATTCTCTACACAATTTTTTTTCTTTTTTGAGAACCTGATTAAGGCGCCCCCTGGTGGCTATATGCAAGTCGATCCATCAAATATCTAAATAAAAGTAATAATAGAATCTCATTTTTTTTATATAATATGAAGCCTTGAGATAGCCCAGTGTAACCAGCACCATGCCAATTAATTTAAAAAAAAACACGATCCACACAGGGACATGATGATCATAATAATAAAGAAGAGTTGAACCGAGCAACCGCTAGATGAATAAACTGTTTAACCGAACCAAAAAAAAAAAAAAAAAAAAAAAAAAAAACGACAAAAGTTTGTCACATTTTGCACAAATATTCCTTACATCCAAAAACTCCAAACCTGATTATACCCTTGGGTAAATATACGGTATATATATAGCAACCGTATTTATCTATGTGTTCATATATATGTATATATATATAAATATATATTTTTGAAAGAAAAATAAAATATAGCTTATGAGTAATGACAGTAGCAGAATTACAAAGGAAAAGGAGAGTGTTTAGGGGAGGGGGAGGAAGTGCCACCGAAACATTTAGTTGTCCTTCAAACTTAGACGCATATAAAATACAAAAAACAACATAAAATAGTAAGGATAGTTATTATTACCAGGTATGGGGGATCTGTGCGGTGTGTGAATAGGGGCAAGAGGAGGGTGTAGTACGGGGCATGGGGGGGGGGTGTACTCCTCACAGGGGCCCATGTCGGGCCTCGTATTTTGCCATAACGTTTTTGCAGCGGCCAAGCTCCTTCCTCAAGTCCGCCACCTCCAAACGCAGCGCCGCGTTCTCTTTCTCCAGGAAGGAGGCGCGAATGGCAATCTGGTTCTCCTTCAGCCTGCGAGCGTCCCGTGAGCGCTTTGCAGCAACGTTGTTCTTTCTGCGCCGTGCCCAGTACCTGTCATCCTGTAGAAACAGATTTCAGCCAATCACCAAAGGGCGAAAACTGCCTTAAAGGGAAGTGACCAGACAATTTCATACCAATAAAATCGATTATAATGGGGTTTTTTTCCCCCCCATTGACCCTCACCCAAATCCCAAATCCTCTCTCTCCCTCACCTTCAGGTCTTCAGGAATAAAGACCTTCCGGGCTTTTTTGATCATGGGCTGTGGCTTTAGTTCATCTGCAGTGAATTTCCGTTTTCTGGGATCAAACATTTCCTGTCCAGGGACGCTGGAAAGAGCCAAGTCAGCTGGGTCTGGTTCATAGGTCAATGGCACATGAATGGTCTCTGGGTCAATGGGGCTGGGTGTGTCCCGGGCTGAAAGAAAAGTTGCGAAAGAAGACATTTTCTTTGTTTTACTTTCATACATTTAGTGTAGCGTATTTTCCCAACTATGTCTCCCCGGAAAATAAGTCGCACCAGCCAAAAAATGCATAATGAAGAAGAAAAAAAAAACATACTGTATATAAGTCCCATCAGGCAGCTAGAGTGCCCTCTAGTGGCGGTCAGTGTGAAAATAACCAACATGTACATTTCCAGTGGTACAGGAGTAGCAGATACTGGTACACTAGCCTAGAGTGCCCTCTAGTGGCTGTCAGTGTGAAAATAACAGTAATAGGAAATTATATATTTTTAATATATAGGTCGCACCTGAGTATAAGTCGCAACCCAGTCAAAGGATGGAAAAAAATTGCAACTTATAGTCCGGAAAATATGGTATCTGTTTCCATGGTACACAATTTCAATCTGTCTCAACAAATCCAATGAACTGAGCCTAACCCTCCCACAAAAAACACTGACTTATTCCTACACACTTGTGACTATGTGAATGACAGTCACAATATATTTTAATATATATAGGTCGCACCCGAGTATAAGTCGCAAACCCAACCAAAGGATGACGAAAAGTGTGAAAATGTGATAGTCACAGCTGATCAGAAGGTAAGAAATAAATGATATACAAAATACATTTTATATGAAAAATAACCTATGACTAAACTAGGGATGGCTCAATCTGATACTCAGGATCAGTATCAGTCCAATGTTGGTCAAACTTTCAAATGATACCTAAGCCTGGATGCTCGACTCAACTTTGTGCGACATGCTGTAAACAGGGATGCGGCTGAAGGCAAAAAGAAGGTATTGGATCGATATTGGTATCGGCAGATATTCCAAGCTGCAGCGCCACTATCAGACTTTAAAAAATTGTATCCAGTCATCCTTAGCAAATATATCCATCCATCCATCCATCCATCACACAAGTGCACGTCAGCTGATTGTCCATGACCGCTGCAGTGAAACATTTAGCCACTGGAAAGCCATTGGATCAAACAGTTCTCTACACTACAATTTCCCCGATGGTTTTTATTATTGATGCATGGATGCATTGGATGAACATCGTATATGTGTTGGATGACAAAAAAATGAACTAGGAAATCTGACACTTTCTCTTTTTGTAACAACCGTATTTTCCGGACTATAAGTCGCTCTGGAGTATAGGTCGCACCAGCCAAAAAAAAATGCAAAAAAGTGTGACTTGTAGTCCGGAAAATACGGTAATTTAATTTATAATTGAAGCTACGTACAGACGAGAGTGGGTGAGAGCAGTTGAGATAGCTAGCTAGATAATTCATGTCAAAGTAGCTGTCACTTTTCAACGTATAGTTTAACTTCTCTTTATTTTCGTTTTAGATCTCAAGATTGTCAAAGTGAAACCAGAATTAAGAGAAATAAAAAAAAGACAAAAATATGAAACAAAAGTGCCTTAAATTAGTCCAAAAATAAATAAATAAGTGAAACGGTGACAAAAATGTGACTACAGGGTTAACTAAGAAGATAAGATAAAGCCCGAAAATAGTTAGCTAAAGGACCGAAATACCAAACAATATTCATTTTTAACCATGTTATTTAGCCTTTTGCGATGCTACACTCAAAGCAAAACATGGATATTGTCCAGCGATATTTGCAAAAAAAAAAAAGTATTCTAATGTCAATTAAACAAACAAACAAGTAAATATCCTTGCGGAATGTTCAAATACGTTTAAGGGGGATTCGATGCAGTAAATGTATCTGGATGTTTAATACAGATGAAAAAAAAATCCAAAATGTTGTTAGTGATAACACTTGTTGCCACTACAGTTTGTTTGCATCTCAGTTGGAAAAAAACATGGTGTGCATGTGAGGAAAAGCACACCCGTGTCCATGTGAACTCAGCTGGGTACAGCCTGTGCTCCGGTCTTGACTCCCGGTAGTGTCTGAGCTGAGCCCAGCAACGGGGAGGGAAAAGAGCAAGACCAGATGGAAGGAAGAGCGCAGCAAGTGTCGAAGGGCGGAGAAAGAGGAAACAGAAGGTGAAAGAGGAAGGAGGGGCCGACTCCTGGCGTGACAAAGCCTGCTATTAAAGCACAAGCTACACACAGCTCAGACATGTGTCTGTCACATGGCCGTGATCCCCCCCCTCCCCCCGTGTTCACATGCAATGTGGAAAAAAAACAAAACAAACCGGATGCACACATAGAGACACGCACACAAACACACACACTACTAGTCAGACGACTACTAGTAAGAGCGCTGGTCAAGATAAACTGTGATTCTGCCCATACTGTATGGGACTTTGTCATATCTCCACTGATACATTTTATTTTTATCTTTGCGCAATTTGGGTTCACACCAAAAAGCAGAGGCTGGAAAACTCTTGTAACGCCTTATATCGCACCGCTTGGTCATTTTTAGACCAAAACCTCATTTGCTTGTCGCGGCCCTAAATGCTCAGCAGCGTAATTGGCGTGGAGAAGAGAAAAAAAGAAAGAAAAAAAAAACACGCAGAAGTCTCACAATTTAGCACCTCCTTGCTAACTTTAACTTTATTCTTTTTTTTATTCCGGACTTGATAAAAAAATCTGACACTTTCTCATTTTGTAATAACTCTATTTTCCGGACTATAAGTCGCTCTGGAGTATAAGTCGCACCAGGCAAAAAAAATGCAAAAAAGTGTGACTTGTAGTAACTTCTCTTATTTCGTTTTAGATCTCACACTGACACCATTATGAGCAAAATGCATTAGCACCTCCTTGCTAACTTTAACTCATACCTATTTTTTTTTTTTTTATTCCGGTCTTGATAAAACGTAGCAGTGATGTCGGTGTCCCAAACATGGCGATGATAAGGTTGTCTGCCACGCTTCACAAACTTCTCTACCTACTTTTAAGAAGGTGACATCAGGGTAAACCTCGCAGATTGGGTGTTGCGGATCGATTCCTCAAAACATCTAAAACACTCTTTTGCATCATCCTCTTTATCGCGTCACTTTCGAAGCTCCCTTCGAATCGCACTTTCGCACACCTAAATCGCTAGCTATCATGCCATTTACTACACAGTCCGTGCCTATCAGTTTCGGTGCCCCCATTAGAGGCAAAGTCAATAAATTCAAATATGAACTTGTCTGCTTACACTTAAGGCCGGTTGTTTGTGCGTTAATATTTGTGTTAAAATCGAGGCTTTTAGTGAGTCTTGCAGCTCTGTATAATCACAGTCGTTTTAGTCACTGCTTTTAGCATCTCCTGCAAAGAATTAAAGATGTAGAAAATAAAGGTGTCAGATTGATATCAGTACAGCAGATATACTCCGAGTTGCAGAGAGTTGTACGCTAGTTTTGATGATCAAATTAACACGAACAATGTTCATGAAATGAAAAGTTAAACAAACAGAGGAAGACACTTCAAACAACAACTCTGGTCAATGGACCGCTGGTTGGCGTGTACAGTCATTACAGAATATTGGGTTGCTAAATTTGCACATGTTTATGGGTATTCAAAATTGACTAACAAGCCCGACACCCATACCGGTATTTATTTTGTTGCATATTTGTGCATCTTTTCCCCACTAAGTCGGCTTGGAAAAAAGAAAACAAAATGCATCAAAGATGTGTTACTAATAAGTGCTTTTCTTCCAACAACTTTTTGGTGTCTTGTATATCTCTTTGTGTTTCCAAATATTTGACTTCGGGAGCACTTATTCTCCTCGAAAAAAAGAAAAAAAAATGACAGTGAGAGCCCTGCCATTGTAAGCATTTCGAAACTTGTCTTACAGATACAGATAGATTGGCCACAGGGTTGTCAAAATGTTGGGGAAAAACCTGCTCTTTAAAGGTGACAAAGCACTGACAATGGCTGAATTCTTAACTCCTTTTCAAGAGCCATGTTCGGAACGACCGGTTTCTGTGGTATGGTAATGAACAACTGCATGTACATTACCATACCTAGCCTACCGAGGAGGATAGACCTGAGTACGGCTTCACGTAACCATGGCAAAACGGTGGAACAGGTTAGAGAGAAATGACCACTGTTATAACATTATACCTCTCTTTGCACTCTTACAAAGTTGAGGTTAAAAATTTGGGGGTGGGGGGGAGTTCAGTACTGGGTGGACGTAGAATTTTTGGGTGAAATAATAATGCAAATAACCTTGTACCAGTGTTAGGTGGGTCGGATTAGAAAATCCAGACAGCCGTATCTGGCCCGCAGGATGCAGTTTGCCCACGTCTGCTGAAAACCAACTAACATGAATTTTAGACGCCAAA